GGGCTGTCCCAGGGACGACTGGGCCTGTGTGAAAGCCATGGTCCCCACCCATCCCACCTGACCCTGCGCACCTCCAGCAGCCAGGAGAGGCCCTTTGTCATCCTCACCCAGCTTATCTGGGGAACTGGGCCACCGCTGAGAACAAAGCCCAAATGTGTCTGGGTGTGGAGGCTGCGCCCACCTCCCCTGGAGACTTGCCCCAGACTTAACCCAGGGCCCAGCAGGGACTGGAAGGGAAACAGAGTTAGGGAGCCGAGCAGATCACCACCAGCTGCGCCCTGGATTCCAGGGCCCGTGTGCACAGAGTAATAGGAGCCGGCTGTCTGGCCAAGGCCGCAGGAGGGTGTGAGTGTGCACCAGCAGCCAGGGAGCAAGGGGGCCAGCAAGACGCACGGGTGTGACCTTGGACTTCTACAAGGAACGGATTCACTCGCTCCCAAGCAGCAGCACTGGCCTTGGCCCCCAGCCCTGAAAGCGCCAGGACCACAGGATAAGCAGCTTGAGGGGCTGTGGCCCCAGCTGGGCTGCGCTGTGTGCTGGTCGCAAGAGGCTCTGGGTGTCTCCTGCCCCAGTCCTGCCTCCTGCCCAGCACAAGGGCCTGTGGAACTCAGACCTCTGTCAGCCCCTGGGAGGGTCAGGTGGTTGGGGATGAGAAGGGCCGAGGGTGGCAGGCTGGAAACTGCCTCCCTTGGCTGCTGTGGAGTACTGGGGAGCACAGAGGTGCTGGGGTGAAGCGTGGCTTCAGCTGGGCAGTATCAGTGCCAGAGGGGATGAGGTCAGCCTCAATCAATAGTGGGCCTGGGCTGGAGAGGAAGCGCCAGGAGCCTGAGGCTCAAGTTGCACAGGGTAGGGATGGCATTCTGGGCTTTCTGTCTCACCCACTCTGGCCAGATTGGAGAAGGGACTTGGCGTGTGAAGACCCACAGGCTCCTCAGCTTCTGCATGTGTCTCCATCAGTGTCTGCAGTCCCCGGTCCGACCAAACCACAGGCCGCCTCCTCCTCCTCCTCCTCCTCCTCCTCCTCCTCCTCCTCCTCCTCCTCCTCCTCCTCCTTATCATCCTCCTCCACCTCCTCCTCATCCTCTTCCACCTCCTCCTCCTCATCATCATCATCATCCTCCTCCACCTCCTCCTCATCCTCTTCCACCTCCTCCTCCTCATCCTCTTCCACCTCCTCCTCCTCATCATCCTCCACCTCCTCATCCTCCTCCTCCTCCTCCTCCTTATCATCCTCCTCCACCTCCTCCTCATCCTCTTCCACCTCCTCCTCCTCATCCTCTTCCACCTCCTCCTCCTCATCCTCTTCCACCTCCTCCTCCTCATCATCCTCCACCTCCTCCTCCTCCTCCTCCTCCTCCTCCTTATCATCCTCCTCCACCTCCTCCTCATCCTCTTCCACCTCCTCCTCCTCATCCTCTTCCACCTCCTCCTCCTCATCATCCTCATCCTCCTCCTCCTCCACCTTCTCCTCATCCTCTTCCACCTCCTCCTCCTCATCCTCTTCCACCTCCTCCTCATCATCCTCCACCTCCTCATCCTCATCCTCCTCCACCTCCTCCTCCTCCACCTCCTCCTTGTCATCCTCCTCCTCCACCTCCTCATCCTCCTCCTCCTCCTCATCATCATCCTCCACTTCCTCCTCTACCTCTGCCTCTTCCTCCCCCTCCTTCTCCACCTCCACTGCCTCCTCCCCTCCCCCTCTTTTCTTTCTTCTTCTTCCTGGGCCAGAGTAGCAGCCCCAGCCCCTTGCTGGGGAAGGGTAGACCAGAGACTTGATTCCTGGTAGTACCTGTCCAGGGCATTCTCAGTACTGCCATCTTGAGGGCACCTGGGAGGCCCAGGCAGGCCGCATTTGTCTTCTGGAGAGGAGCATGGGGACCCTTGGGCTCTGCCCAGCCAGCCTCCTGGCCTCCCTTTGGGTCCCCTTGTGCAGCAAGGGCCCTAGCCCTGGTCCTCCCTAGCTTCGCTCGGCAGCCGGCAGCTCCTGTGCACACATCACTGCTGATGGCAGGACTGTGGGTGGTACAAGCCCCCCGGGTCTGGCTAGGCACCTCTGGGCTCACCAGACTCTAACCCGCCCCTCCCCACCCCACCCCGCAGATGGCACTGTACTTCTGCTCCGGGCTGCTGCAGGACCCGGCACAGTTCCGGCACTACGCACTCAACGTGCCCCTGTACACACACTTCACCTCGCCCATTCGCCGCTTCGCTGATGTCCTGGTGCACCGCCTCCTGGCTGCCGCACTAGGTGAGGGGTGCAATCGGGGCCCAGGCAGACCTGGGCCAGCTTAGGGCTGCCCACCCCCACAGTGGGTGCTCAGTGGCCCAAGACCACTCTGCCATGACTTCGGAGGTCCAAGGGTCAGGTGACCCAAGCGTAGGCAGCCTGGTCTAGAAACTCTTCCCACAGGCCAGTGCTGCCCTCCCCATAGCCAGCCCTGGACACAGCTGGGAGGAGGGTGCTGACCTTGGAGGGCCACTTTCTGCTGCTCTGGATGCTAGGGGCCTAATCTGACGTCTGGGGCAGAGCACCATGCAGCCTATGCCCCTGCCTTAGCTCTTCCCAGCCCCCAGGCCCACCCTCATGCCCCACCCATGATCCTGCCCCCTCTTCCCAGGCTATAGAGAGCAACTAGACTTGGCACCGGATACCCTGCAGAAGCAGGCAGACCACTGCAACGACCGCCGCATGGCCTCCAAGCGCGTGCAGGAGCTCAGCACCGGCCTCTTCTTTGCCGTTCTGGTCAAGGTGAGCCCTCCAGCCTGGTGCCCCTCACTTCCCTCTGACTCCCAACCCTCCTGGGCACCAACTCACCAGGAGGCTTCAAGGAGCCCAGGGCAGTGCCAGGAGGTGCCATGGCTGCAGCACTGTCCCTGCAGGAGAGTGGCCCCCTGGAGTCAGAAGCCATGGTGATGGGCGTCCTGAACCAAGCCTTTGACGTGCTGGTGCTGCGATACGGCGTGCAGAAGCGCATCTACTGCAACGTGAGTGCCCTGGGAGAGCGGAGGAGGGAGAGGGCAGAGCAGCCCAAGCCGTCCCACACTGGAGGGATGCAGGCTGTGACGGGTCCCACTCCACCCCTCGCTCCCCCAGCCCTAGCACAAAGCCTATCTGATGGGCCTTGCTGAGATACCCACCTCTCCCACCTGGGATGGTGGCTCCAGGCCCAGGGTTGGGCCTGGCCCACTTCCCCCTTTCCCTTCCCCTGTACCCAGGAACCAGAAAGCAGGCCCCTCCATGGGCAGCACAGCTCGGCAGGGTGTGCGGGCTTTGGGGACTGTGCTTATGAGGAACGTGAAGGAATGAAAGGCCAGTGAATGGTCCTTGGCCACTCTGGAAACTGTGTCCCCTGAAGACAAGGGAGAGAACTGTCCCTGACCCGGCTCCTGCGCTGGGTGACTGTTGATTCCCAGTTCTCTCCAAGGGGACATAGACCTGTCCTAATGCCACCTTAGGGGCTTGGCTGCAGCTGGCCCATGTGCCTGGCTTTGAATTTCCTAATATCCAGAGTGCCCGGGGAGTGCAGCGTCCAGCCCATTGTGCGCAGCAAATGTGTTCCTAACCTGGAGCCAGGCAGAAGAGGAAGGACGGAGTCCACCTGCAGACCCTTGGGGCTCTGTCTCCTGAAGTTCAAGTCTAGGTCACCCTGCAGTGGGCCGGGTCCTGCCTGCACTGACAGATGGCACCAGCAGGGGGCGCAGCACTCCGCTGCCACCGTTCTGTGTTCCCACTTCAGTGCAGTGAGCCCTGGGCCCATTAGCACACAGAGCCAGGGGCCTCCAAGCCCCCGCCCTTGGCCCTTGGTCTCTCTCACCTGATGCCTCAGCAGAAGGTGGCCTGGCAGGGCCTCCCTGAAGCTCCTTCCAGCCAGGCAGGGGTGGGCCAGGATGGAGGGCCAAGGGCCGCCTCCAAGCAGTGAAGCCCTCCAAGGTGGAATGGCAGGCAGCAGCGCCCAGGGCTGAGGCCTGAGGCTTGGTGTTTGCACTCCAGGCACTAGCCCTACGGTCCCACCACTTCCAGAAGGTGGGCAAGAAGCCGGAGCTCACGCTGGTCTGGGAGCCTGAGGACACGGAGCAGGAGCCGACACGGCAGGTCAGAACCCCTCTGTGTCCCATCGCCCCAAGTCTTGATGAGCCCTCCCCTGCCTCCTATGGTGTCCCCTGCCCTCATCTGTGTCTCCTGGGCTCCCCCAGCACTGCAGCCTCCTGGGTGGTGTTTCAGGGCCCCCAGGCCCTTCTGGCTCATGTAGACCCCCTCCTGAGGGCCCTGCTTTCTGGCACCACCTTCCCTTCCTTGGGAACAACCACAGTGGAGAGAGGCGGGGCTCTGCTTGTCCCTCTAATGCAGGGGTGCTATCCTTCTGGGGTCCTTTTGAGAGCCTGAGAAAAGCTATGAGTTTACACCCAAGAAACTGTCTGGAACGAGTTTCACCAACAATGTGTCCCCAGAGGTGGATCCGGGCCCTCAGGTTGTGCTTCGTAAGCCTTGGGAGCGCCCAAGATGCCTCTCACTCCAGCTGGAGCAGGCCCCTGTTACAGATGGGCCAGCAGAGGCCTCCAGAGGCTGAGGGAGGGGCCTGGGTCCTGCTGCAGGGACCGAGGCAGCTGTCCTTGTCCCCTCACGACTGTGTTCTGCACAGGTCATCACCATCTTCAGCCTGGTGGAGGTGGTCCTGCTGCAGGGACCGAGGCAGCTGTCCTTGTCCCCTCACGACTGTGTTCTGCACAGGTCATCACCATCTTCAGCCTGGTGGAGGTGGTCCTGCGGGCAGAGGCCACAGCCCTCAAGTACAGCGCCATTCTGAAGCGGCCAGGCACCCTGGGCCACCTGGGCCCTGAGAAAGAGGAGGAGTGTGACAGCGAACCTGAGGACTGAGGCGCCAGCAGAGCTCGACCCACCACCTGCGCCACCTGCCGGCCGCACCGCGTTGGCTTTAGGAATAAGACCTCTTGACATGGAGGGAGACTTTTAATTTGGTTTTTAACAACTCAGGGGTTTGTTTTTATTTAATTTTTGCAGTTCAACTTTTAAACAAACTACAGGGGAGAGGGTGGGGCTGGAAGGAAGGCTGAGGCCTGGTCAGCAGTAACCCCAGCAGAGCAGGCCCTAGTCCTTCTGGGAGGCCAGCCCCCCTTTTCTCTGGGCCCTTCTGCCCTCCTCTGCCCAGGAAACGGGGGTTTTCAGCAAATCAGTGTCACAGAATAAAATCAAGTGTGAAGTGCCATCTGGTGTGTGAGGCGCCTCTGGGAAGCCTGGGCAGCAGGGTACCCCTTGCACCCAGGACAAGGGACGCAGCTCAGGCTCCACCCCTCGCTGCTGAGCCGATGTCACCACCTGGAGCCTTCCTGTCAGTTCCAGCATAATTCAGAGCCGGCCGCCTGGCAGATTGATGCCGGAGTTTCATTCTGCCTGATTAAAAATGTAGCCCCCGTCAACCTGATGCATGTGGCTCTGTCCAGCCCTGTCCCCGCTTCCTCTCTGCACCAGCTCTGTAGGGCCTGGTGGGGGTTGTGGGTGCTGTGACACCCCCTCCCCTCAAGCAGCACTCTGTGAGGCCCTGTCCCCAGCTCTGGTGTGAGTTGGTGCCCGGCAGCCCCAGGCCAATCCTGTGCTCTGGCAGTGCCAAGGGAGCCTGGACAGAGAAACAGGCCTGGGCTTGGGGAAGGGAGGAGGGCCCTCCAGCCCCTTCCCAACCAGGAGAAGAAAGCGGCTCCTGGTGACACAGCCTGGCCCTGTCGCCCACCCAGTGTTCCGAGCACCCACAGATCCCACCTGCCTTGGTCCCAGGCAGAGCTGGCCGGCCGCTGGGCAGTCCCTTCCCCAGCCAGCCGGAGCCCAGCCTGCACTCCTTCCCATCTCAGTGAGGGAAGCTCCCTGGCTTGGCTTCCCGAGAGCTGCCAGAAACTAGGATGAAAGCCACGGTGAGCCCGGCCTCTGCTCCCCGCACCATTTCCTGGGGTGTCAGGATTAACAAGCTCATTTGATCTGGTTACAGTGAATTTTCTTCAAAGAAACGCTCAATAGGGTCCCTTGTCAGAGCCTCGCGTGCCTGGACCACAGTGACTGGGCACGGCTGCCTTTGTTCTGCCACCATCAAATGGGGCTGGCTGTGGGAGGGGACCAAAGACATCCCTCACCTGCCCCTGGTGCCCTTCCCTCCTCCAGGGCTCAGCCACCTCAGGTGGCCTCAGTCTGTGTATCCTCACACTCCCAAGATGTCCCATCTGTTCCTGTCCCCAGAGCCTTCTGGAGCCAAGTATGTGTAGGGACAGGTGAGCATCTGAGGGTTTGCTGTTGGGGTAAAGGCTATGTGTGGGGTGCTGCCAGGACCCAGGCAGCCTGTGAGAGCCCCAAAGAGGAGACACCTCAGCCCCCCTCCCCTCTACACTCCCCACCCTCTCAGGAGACACCCCAGCCCCCCCTCCCCTCTACACTCCCCACCCTCTGAGGAGACACCCTAGCCTCTCCCCTCTGCTCTAAACTCCCCACCCTCTGAGGAGACACCCCAGCCCCCCCCTCTACACTCCCCACCCTCTGAGGAGACACCCCAGCCCCCCCCACACTCCCCACCCTCTGAGGAGACACTCCAGTCCGTCCTCCCCCCTACACTCCCCACCCTCTGAGGAGACACTCCAGTTCCCCCCTCCCCTCTACACTCCCCACCCTCTGAGGAGATACCCCAGCCTCTCCCCTCCGCTCTACACTCCCCACCCTCTGAGGAGACACCCCAGCCCCTCCCCTCTACACTCCCCCCCCTCTGAGGAGACACTCCAACCCCCCACTACACTCCCCACCCTCTGAGGAGACACTTCAGTCCCCCCTCCCCTCTACACTCCCCACCCTCTGAGGAGACACTCCAACCCCCCCCTACACTCCCCACCCTCTGAGGAGACACCCCAGCCCCTCCCCTCTACACTCCCCACCCTCTTAGGAGACACCCCAGCCCCCCTCCCCGCTGTGCTGTGGCAGCGGGTACTGTGGATTTGGGGACGTTCTTGGATGGTGCACATGTCTCTGGGGAACCGTATCTGCTGCAGTAGGAAAGATACTCAAGTGTCTTTAGCTCAAGACCAACACTGCCCTTGGCTCAGGTTGGGACTTCAACTATTGCTATAGAGCAGTAATGGTTAAAATAAGGTTTTGGAATTTATTAAAATATTTTTGGCTGGGCATGGTGGCTCACGCCTGTAATCCCAGCACTTTGGGAGGCTGAGGCAGGTGGATCACTTGAGGTCAGGAGTTCAAAACGAGTTTGGCCAACATGGTGAAACCCTGTCTCTACCAAAAATACAAAACAATTAGCTGGGTATGGTGGCACACACCTATAATTTCAGCTACTTGAGAGGCTGAAGCAGGAGAACTGCTTGAACTCGGGAGGTGGAGGTTGCAGTGAGCCAATATCGTGCAGCTGCACTCCAGCCTGGGTGACAGAGCAAGAAAAAGATTTTTGTTATTGATCAAATACTGTTTAGACTAGATTGACACGTAAAAGTTTTGTGAGAGGATAATACGTTGTGTTTTCTCCATTGTATTAAAGTATCTATTGAAAATCAAGTGACAGCTTTTACAAGGGGCAAAGTCACTTGTTCTTTAACATACAGCTTTTTTATTAGTTCTGAATTAGAAACGGCATCTGTTTTAGGTCTCAAGATACAACTTGGCTGTTCCTTTCTGTATATTTACACTGTTTTCTCTAGGAATGGTATATGTAATTATATATTGGCCCTGCACCAAATGGAAGTGATGTTTATTTAATAGCTTTTTGATGCCTTATGTTACCAAATATACAGTAAAGGCTGGGGGCGGTGGCTCACGCCTGTAATCCCTGCACTTTGGGAGGCCAGATGAGTGGATCACCTGAGGTCAGGAGTTCGAGACCAGCCTGGCCAATGTGGTGACCCATCTCTACTAAAAATACAAAAATTAGCTGGGGATGGTGGTGGGCACCTGTAATCCCACCTACTTGGTAGGCTGAGGCACGAGAATCCTTGAACCTGGGAGGAGGAGGTTGCAGTGAGCTGAGATCGCACCATTGCACTCCAACCTGGGCAACAGAGCGAGCCTCCGTCTCCAAAAAAGTAAATAAAAATTTAAAAAGAAAAAAAATACAAAAATTAGCCAGGCATGGTGGTGGGTGCCTGTAATCCCAGCTACTCAAGAGGCTGAGGCAGGAGAATTGCTTGAACCCAGGAGGCGGAGGTTGGCGCCACTGCACTTCAGCCTAGGGGACAGAGGGAGACTGCGTCCTAAAAAATACATAAATAAATAGAAACAGGGTTTTGGTATGTTGCTCACTATGTTGTGAACTTTTTCATGCGCCTGAGCAAGATTGGAGAGCACACACACACACCAATGTCACTTGCAGTAAACAAAAGATATTTGTCCACATTCAAAGTGTGTGGTGACACCCTGGCCACATGGGGACACTTGGCTAACCTGCCTCCTACCGTCCTGCCAGAGTCACCTGACTGTCGTGATATCTGGTTACAGCCCTTCCTCTGAGGTCCAGGAATTTCAAAGCAGAAGCAGCAGTCTTTCCCAGTGGAGGAAGAGATAAAGCCTCCATTCCTGGGATTCCTGGTTACTGTCACCTGGGGCCAGGGGAGGCCCAGGCTGTGGCGTGTACTCTTTGAGGATTGGTCGTCTTGGTCCTTCTGGTCTCTGAGAAGGAAGGGCTGTTCCTGTAGGACACCATTTGGATTCCTTAGCACCCTCTACCACCTGATGCCCTTGAGGACACCAAGCTCCATGCAGTCCCGACCATGTCCAGCTCAGTGCCAGAGCCAGGGTGGGGCTGAGTCCACCCCTTCACCAGCTACTGCCAACCACGGATGAATGGCTTCTGCCTGCCTCCTGCCCTCCAGATCTCACCAGGACATCTCACTAAGAAATATGATGACAGCCCTTGCCACTCAGGGGAGAGCATGGCAGGGGCTGGGAATGAATGTTGTCACCAAACAACACCCAGCAGGGTGTGGTGGCTCACACTTGTGATCCCAGTGCTCGGAGGATCACTTGGGGTCAGGAGCTTGAGAGCAGCCTGGGCAACATAGTGAGACTCTACCAAAAAAAAAAAAAAAAATTAGCCAGGCATGATGGCTGGTGCCAATAAGCCCAGCTACTTGGGAGGCTGAGGCTGAGGCAGCGAGCCATGATCACGGCACTGCAGTACAGCCCAGGTGACAGAGTGAGACCCTGTCTCAAAAAAAAAAAAAAAAAAAAAAAAAAGGAGAGTGCAGTGGCTCATGTCTGTAATCCAGACACATTGGGAGGCTGAGGTGTGAGGATCCCTTGAGCCCACGGTGTTGGAGACCAGAGAGCAAGACCATGTCTTTACACAAAATAAAAAACCAGCCAGGTGTGGTGGCACATGCCAGTGGTCCCAGCTGCTTGGGAGGCTGAGGTGGGAAGACTACTTGCACCTGGGAGGCCGAAAGCTGCACGGAGCCATAACTGAACCATCACACTCCAGCCTGGCTGACACAGAATGAGACTGTCTCCAAAACCAAAACAATTCCAACTCGAAAAATCATCATGGAGTGGCTGCAAAAGCTCCTGATTGGCTTTCTTTGGAGTGAATCAATGAATTAAGGCCCTGACAGTGAGTCTTCTCCAAAATTTAGCCCACAATTTTCCTAACTCAGCAAGATGAAGCAGGAAGTCTTGGGAACTGGGGGGGGCGACTAGTAGGGGGCCCCATGAGGGCGACATCTTCCCTGAGAACCCCAGGACAACAGTGGGAAGCCAGGCAGGGTGCAGGCAGGAGAACCCCAGAAAGCTCAGCCGGAGGGGAGGCATATGGGCGTGGTGGGGAGTGGGGTGGGACAGGCAGAGGCTGGGCAGCAGGTGAGGTCCCCTGGGCTCTGGGGACCAAGCCTGGGGCTCGGGGTGAGCAGGCCTGAGTGGAGGAGGGCTGCTGTGTTGAGCGGGGGCGGGTGGAGCTGGAGGAGCCTTTTCTTCTCGGACCAATTTCTGAATTGTGCTACAAAACACAGTTCGTCACACTCACCTCCTTCACCGTTTCCAAGTGTGCAGGGCGGCCGCGTTGAGTACACGTACATTGTTGTGCAGCTGATCCCCAGAACGTTCTCATCCTGCAGCCCCGAAGCTCTGTCCCCGTTAAACTCCAACTCTAACCCCAACCCCAGCCCTAATCCTAACCCATTTCCCCTCCCCCAGTCCCAGGTAACCTCCATCCACTTCCATCTCTACGAATTTGACTCCTCTAGGGACCTCAGAAAGTGTGTTCGTGTGTATGTGCCCCTTTTGTTACTGTTTTTAAGAACCTTATTTTACAGGTGACAGGATTGGTTCTTTTGCGACTCTCATATTTCACGAGCATAATGTCCTCACAGTCCTCCAGGCTGTAGCAGGGTCTTCTGCAGGGCCTCCTTCCTTTTCAAGGCTGTATGATATTCCCTTGGGTGTATGACCCCATTTGGTTTTTCCATTGTCTGTTGATGGATGCTTGGGTTTCTTCTACCTTTTGGGATTTGTTTTTTTGTTTGTTTGTTTTTTTTGGGAGACAGAGTCTATTTGTGTTTACCCAGGCTGGCCTGGAACTCCTGAGCTCAAGCAATCCTCCGATCTTGGCCTCCCAAAGGCTGGGATTATAGGTGTGAACCACTGTGCCCAGCATCCTTTATTCTTGTTTTGAAAAATTTTCCAAATTTTATTAAGACTGTAACAAACCAGCCAGGCACGGTGGCTCACGCCTGTAATCTCAGCACTTTGGGAGGCCGAGGCAGGTGGGTGGCTTGAAGCCAGTAGTTCAAGACCAGCCTGGCCAACATGATAAAACACCATCTCTACTAAAAATACAAAAAAATTAGCTGGGTGTGGTGGCATGTGCTTGTAGTCCCAGCTACTCAGGAGGCTGAGGCAGGAGAATCACTTGAACCTGGAAGGTGGAGGTGGCAGTGAGCCAAGATCAGCCACTGCACTGCAGCTTGAGTGACAGAGTGAAAGGCTGAAAAAGTGGTTTTCCAAAAATGAAAAAAAAGTCTGGGCGTAGTGGCTCACGCCTGTAATCCCAGCACTTTGGGAGGCCGAGGCGGGTGGATCACCTGAGGTCAGGAGTTCGAGACCAGCCTGACCAATATGGTGAAACCCCATCTCAATTAAAAAAAAAAAAGAAAAGAAAAAAGACTGTAATAAACCCTTGGATGGAAAACGTTTATAATGGTAACTTCTGTAATGTAAACTAAAAAGTAAAAAGAGTTAAAAATTAAAATGTCAATGAACCTGAAACAGAATAAACATAAAGTGGAAAACCACGTGGAACCAATCACTGTGTTATTTAGAAAAACACGCCTATGTGGTAAAACAGTCAACAGCAAAGGCAAAATGACCAAAATACAGGACAGTCGTTACCTCTGGGGAGAAACATGGGAGACTCAGAGGCTCTCAACGTCTCAGTGAGTCTCTTTCTCACAAAAGAGTTAACCCTGCAGAGCAAAGAAGGACTTGCTTTTGTTATTAGTCTTTAAATGGAATAGATGGAAAATATTCTTTGCGTGACCACAACAAATGGAAACTATGTTAATGAAGTTCAGCCATTCTTCTTCTGTTTTACTTATAATAACATAAGCCGGAAATCTGGGAGTAACCCTTGACCACTCCCTCATAGACCAAGTCCATTAAATTATCATTTCTGATCACGCCTATAATGCCAGCACTTTGAGAAGCCAAGGCAGGCAGATCCCTTGAGGCCAGGACTTCAAGACCAGCTTGACCATGATGGTGAAACCCCATCTCTACCAAAATTATGAAAATTAGCCAGGCACAGTGACTCATGCCTGCAATACCAGCGGCTCGGGAGGCTGAGGCAGGAGAATTACTTGAACCTGGAAGTGGGGGTTGCTGTGAGTCAAGTTCGTGCACTCCAGCCTGGACAACAGACTGAGACTCCATCCAAACAAAATCCAAAAAGCATCATTTGTATTCTTCCTCACCCACAGCACCAAGCCCTGGTCCCAGCCACCTTGATTCTCCCCGGAAACCCAAATCCCTTCCCTCCTCCTTAACACCCCGTTCTAATCCAGTCTCCACACAGCGGCCAAAGCCAGCACTTTAAAACCTGATGAACTTTGTCTCTCTTCGACTTGAATCTCTCTCCCCACTCTCCTGTTCTATCAGAAGCAACAAAGACACAAGTAGATTGCCCAAGGCCACACAGCAGGACATGGCAGAGGCAGGATTCAAAATCTACTAGTCTTGACAGTCCACGTGTCTCATCACTCACTATCCCACCTTGGGTGATCCCAGAAAAGGGTCGGCCCTAACACAGGGTGATCTCAGAGACAGACCATTTCTCCTCCCGCCGCCTCCTCACCCCCTTCATCAGCCTAACTCCTAGTGATCCCTAATTCTCAGCTCCAACCACACTCTCTAGGAAAGGCCTTCCTACCCCTTGCCCTAGTCCAGCAACTCCCCACACTTTGACCGCCAGTGCTTCGTGCATGTCTCAAAACGTTC